TTTGAGCAGTATAATGGCTTAAAAATTATAAAAGACCTTACAAATGAAAAAAAAAAAAAACCCACTGAAAAAACATGTATTTTCTGAATGTATTGTTGGGCTGGCTCCAAATCAAATAATCCATAAAGCACAAAACAAAGTAAAAGCTTGGGATGCAAGGTAAGCAAGCCAGACAACTTTCATCTTGAGGGCTTCTACCAAATCTTGAAGACCCCAGTTTCCTTTGTCATGTCCTCAAGTTCTACTATTGAGAATCTCATAAAAGGACCCACACCAAAAACGACAGACAAAAGCCACTCCTCCATGTAGGGGTAAAGTAGAGAGAAACATGCAAAGCAAAATGCCTTGGCAAGGCCACTTGCATATCAAACACTGAACACTGGATGGTGAGGGTAGGGAAAATCTCTTGTGAGAATTTATAACCCCAAGCTGGCCTTTCCATGATTTTATGGTCTAAATTCATGTTCCCTCTGTGATTCAAAAACTCCTCAAAGAAAAATTTAAATTTAAAGTGTTTTTAGATTGATAGGGGATCCATGGAACTGAAAAGTATAAAAGCCACCTGGCTAGCATGCTAAAGCAGGTGAAAGAAGAGAACTGAGGGTCTCCTAATTCCTTACTTGGGCTTTCTTTTGATCCTCCTGATTTGAGGCTAGGCCTCCACTCTCCTCTGCTGGTTGTCCCTCTGGTTTTACATCCCTAGAGAATAAGCCTCTAGGCTCCCACAAGAACAGGGAAAGGGATGACACTGCTCACTGTTCTTTAATCAGACTTCCAAAAGCCCCTGTTTTCTCCCACCCTTAAGACACACACACACACATTGGGGCGCCTGGGTGGCTCAGTGGGTTAAAGCCTCTGCCTTCGGCTCAGGTCATGATCCCAGGGTTCTGGGATCGAGCCCCTCATTGGGCTCTCTGCTCAGCAGGGAGCCTGCTTCCTCCTCTCTCTCTCTGCCTGCTTCTCTGCCTACTTGTGATCTCTGTCTGTCAAATAAATAAATAAAATCTTAAAAAAAAAAAAAAGACACACACACACACACACACACACACACACACACACACACACAAGCATGCACACACAGACACAAACACATACTTGCCTACTTCCTTCTGCAGAATGTGGTAACTTTCTGGAGTTCTCCAGGACAAATCACTTCAATTCCCTTCAGCCCCCACACCGTCACCCCTGCCAACACTTTAGCATAATCTTGTTCTGCAAAGTCCTTTCCTGTACTTCCACTCACTTTCTAAACTGTATATTGTGACTGAGGTTACAGATGGCACCTCATTTCCTTGAAGGTGAGTTTAATGTGTTTCTTGTTCTCTGGAGCAATTTTACAAACGATATCTCATTGGACATTATTTTTTTCTTATTGTTTCACATCTTCCTTGCTGGTTTTGAAGTAATCTCCGGAGAAAAGATAGAGTAGAAATGTCTTTACTTCACTATCTTGAAATTGGAGACCCAGGCCACTACTTTAAAAGTACAAATTTCCCAACAGATAAACACTACAAATTCTCTAATATTGGTGTCTAATTTAGAGAAAACTCCAGGAGATAACTTGTCTAGTCTAAGGGACTATGAGGTCTCCAGCTAGAATCTGTTTAACTTGAAATCTAAAGTAGAATTATTCTAAGACAGATAACTTCCATTTATGTGATAAGATTCGACACAATTTAGGAGCAACATCTCCTCAGAAATTACTAAATGGTTTTGCAGTGAAAACCAACCATTATGATATGCTAGTATCAAATTCTCAAAGTCTAAGCCACCATATGGAGTTAACCTGTGCGCCACACAGAAGTGCCATTTTTAAAGAACTTCATTCCTAGAAATCCTGCTGATCTAGATATATTATAACAATTTTCCAGTAGAAAGTAGTCAAGGTCTTACAATGACAAGATCGTATTATTACAACAATTTTCTGACATAGGCAAGTAAAATGTTTTAAGGAGGCGGTCCTTTCCCTTAATTTACCCACTCTCTAGCTTCATATGTCCTGAATGAAATTAACTTCCCAGTCAAATTCACATCTATAAATCTTCTGAAAGGGACATCATTTCTAAAGCATAACTACTATAAAACTGAAATGACCCAAAATTCCTATGCTAAAGCCCTAACCTCACATATTGCTGTATCTGAAGATAATAAAGACCACCAGAAACACTTTGCTCTACTGTTGGATGGCAAGGCCAGCAACACACCTTTACTCTCCTACCTCAGGGGTATATTGACTCTCCAGCCCTATTTCATAATTTAGTTCTGTGGGGACCTTGATTGTCTTTTCCTTCAATCAGATAGCATACTAGTGCATTACATGAACGACATTATTCTGAATGGATCTAGTAAGCAAGATGTAGCCACTACTTCAGACATTTTAGTAAGATGGTAAGAAACAAATCTGAAAAAATCAGGGACTTCTACCCCAGGGAAATTTCTAGAGCTTCAGTGGTGTGGGGCATGTGAAGATATCCCTTCTATTGATGAAGAATAAGTTTTTGCACTAGGCACAACACCTAGTGGGCCTCTTTAGATTTTGGAGGCAACATATTCCTTATTCAAGTGTGTTAGTCCAGCCTATTTGCCAAGAGACTCAAAAAGCTGCTAGTTTTATGCAGGTCCCAGAATGCGAAAAACCTCTATAGTAGTCCAGGCCTTGTGCGTACTGTTCTCCCACTTGGGCCATATGATCCTGCAGATCCAATGCTACTCAAGCATCAGTAGCAGACAGGAACTCTGTTTGCAGCCTTTAGAGGCTTCTATAAGTGAATTGCAGGACAGGTCCTCAGGATTTTGGAGCCAAGCCCTACCACCCTCTGCAGATAACTATTCTCTTTTACAAAACACCTTCTGGCCTGATACTGTGTCTTGCTAGAGAATGAAGGCTTAATCATGGGCCACCAAATTAGCATACAACACAGGCTGCCCTCACGAACCAGGTATTACCTAATAAACCAAGCCACAATGTAAGACATCATCAAATGGATGCAGTATATAGACAATTCAGCCCAGATTCATGGACTGTGGCCAATGGTTTTGTTCTATGGCCAAGGTCTTGGAAGGAACGTGATTGGAAAGTTGGTAACAAGGAAATCTGGGGAAGAGTTATATAGATAGACCTTACTGCATGGGGAAAAATGTGAACATATTTGAGTCCCATGTGACTGTTCCCCAAAGGGTGACTTTAGCAGAGAAATATATTAACAGTCAAATGGAATAGTATGGATACTATTCACCTCAGTCATCCCTCTTTCTCCAGTGACTCCTCCCATCATCAAATGGGTTCATGAACAAAGTATCCATGGTAGCAGGAATAGAAGGCATTCTCAGCCTCAGCAATATGAATGTCCACTCACTAATGTCAACCTGGCTACAGCCATCACTGAGTGCCCAATACGCCAGCAGCAGGCAGCAACACTAAGTCCCTAATATGGCCCCACTCTCTAGAGTGACGAGCTGGCTACATGGGGATACGTTGATTACACTGGACCACTTCCATCGTAGAAGGGACAGTGCTTTGTTCTTACTGGAATAGAAATTTATCCTGGATATGGGCTTGCCTTCCCTGCGAATAATACTTCTGCCCAAACTATTATCCATGGACTTACAGAATGCCTTGTCTATAGTTCTGATCAAGAAACTCACTTCACAACAAACAAAGTATTGCAATGGGTCCATTCTCATGGAATTCATTAATCTTACCATGTCCCCGACAATCCTGAAGTAGCTGGCCTGACAGAGTGGTGGAAAGGTCTTTTGCAGACTCAATTACAATTCTAGTCAGGTGGCAGTACCTTGCAGGGCTGAGATAAGGTTTTACAGAAGGCTGTATATGCTCTGAATCAGCATCTGATTTGGGGTACTGTTTCCCCCACAGGCAGGATTCATAGGTCCAAGAATCAAGAGGAGGGAATGAAGAGAAGTGACATAACTCACTATAACCTCTGGTGACTCACTAGTAAAATGTTTGCTTCTTGTCTCCTGTGATCTTATGTTTTGCTGCCCTATGGGTCTTTGTTCCAAAGGAAGCAATGCTTCCACCAGGAGACACAATAAGATTCCATTGACCTGGATGTTAAGACTGCCACCTGGCCATGGGGGACTTCTCTGTCATAGGGGACAGCTCTGAATCAACAGATACAGCACGGAGTTATTGTGCTGCTGGCTTGACTGATCCCAACCAATACATTAACTTTTGCAACAGGAAGAGACACTTCATTCTAAAACAAAGCTTTTAGAAAAAATTATAAAGCCATTTTAATGTAGTTGGTTCCACAGGGTCTGATTTTGCTATATATATCTCTTTAGCAACAAAGTGGTTAGATTTTAAGAATAAAGCACTTCTTATCAAGCCTTATTTGATTGGTACCTGGATTATGAATGAAACAGGAAACTGAGCAGTCTGATGAGACTCTGAGCACTTTTCAGAGATTGCAATACGTCACACCTTGGCATTGATGATTAAAAGTACTTCTACTTTGATCCAGAAGACTACATGCAATGTCTTCCAGGAATTTAAATAGTTCCTTTCTATACATATTATATAGAACACATAGTAACTATATATGTAACAATTACATTTAAGTCATGATTATTAAGATTAGTCCATTCATTCAATTATCCTTAATTCATTTAACAAAGATTAAATTAGCACCTAAAAAGTGCAATGACTAGTGTTGGGTCTAACCATAGACATATTTTTCATTCCTTGGATTATGTCTAACATGTGTTTGGAACACAAGCACTAAGATATGCAAATGACTGAGAACAGATATCTGCTTCCATTGCACTAGTCCTCAGATACACTGGCTTGTTATGGTTAAAAAATGGTATAATATCAACATTACCTAATGCCAAACTTAAACTCAAATACTGACAAATATAAATAATTCAGTCCAATAATATCATAATTATTCAAATGTAAAATAAGCAATAGTTTATAAGAATAACGTAATTTTATATTACATTTTAACAGAAAAACTGTTTTAAAATTCCCTTACCTCTTGTTTGTACCCCCTTTCCACAGGCTTCACTGGTGCCCATTATCCGCTGCCTGACAGACTCTGGTACCAATATACAAGGGCTCCATTTCTGTGGCTTCCATCTGTGATTACAAAGAAGAACAGACTAAAAATTTCACCATAACAAACATACAAAAGAAATATACAAAATGAACGAATTTGAAATCCCCAAATTACAAAAACAGTAATTCAATAAAACCTGATTTAAAATCAACGTCATAAAATGGAGCAATAGGGAGGAAAATAGTCCACTCTACCCGAGATTCATGGTTAATGCAGTATTTCCATTTTTTAAAAATGTAGACATTTTCTATATAAGCTGTAGTCCATTGGGCAAGGCGGCAGTAAAAATCCTTAAAAGCACAGATCAATCGAGAAGTTTTACCTACCGTATTATCTAAAATTATTTAAAAAAGTGGGGGAAGAAGAAGAAAGAGAGGAGGAGCAGGAGGAAGAAGAGGAGGAAAGGAAAAAGAGAGAGAGAGAGAGAGAAATCCTCATGTCCCTTTGGAGCCGGTGATAATCAAGGCTTGGACATCTGAAAATTTGGGGTGAAAACCTTCACAATTGATCTTCTGCTTCAGAGGTTTTTATAAGGTGGTGTCTAAGATTTTAAAGTGACTCAGATATCTCAATAAGTCATAAAGTAAAAGGGTGATGGGGGGGTCACAGGGACCTATCTTATGTGACAGTTCATCTCATGGAAGAGGAACAGATCCACCTTTGATGAATCATCAGTATTTCTAGTTCTCAAAGGGAATATTCACTGCGGAGGCCTTGTGGTTTCTCAGTGTATTCCTTTCTCAGGTAAACAAAATTTTCTATTTTTATGATCCACAAGACAGACTGACTTAGATCCTTAAACTTGTCCTCAGAATGTACCAGAGGGGTGCCTGGGTGGCTCAGCAGATTAAGTCTCTGCCTTTGGCTCAGGTCATGGTCTCAGGGTCCTGGGATCGAGCCCAATATGGGGTGAGCAGGGAGCCTGCTTCCCCCTCTCTCTCTGCCTGCCTCTCTGCCTATTTGTGATCTCTCTCTCTCTGTCAAATAAATAAAATCCTTATTAAAAAAAAAAAAAAAATGTACCAGAAAACTCAAACCTTAAGAGTAACCACAGATTCTGCTCCTTCCTTAGCATATTTTCACACTTTTCCTATGAGCCAATACCACTAATAAGAGATGCTACTTCAAAAAATGAAACAGAAACATGAAGCAAAAATATTATTGGCCAGTTTTGCGAGATGAAATAATTGATAAATAAAGCTCTCTAGGATTTTTTCATCTTGCAAAACTGGTCAATATTATTACATATATATTACATACATATGTATGTATGTAAATACATATGTAATATATATGTAATATTATTGACCAGTTTATATGTAATATATATGTAATATATATGTTATATATATGTTATATATATATAATACAATCATTGACCTCACTCAAGTGGCATTCATACTAGGAATAGTTGAGGAATTGAGAAATCAAGAAACACCTAAACCGAAAAGCACCATTTAAAGAACCCCTTAATTTTAAATAATTGTAAATTTACTTTGCACATACATAGATTGATTTAGTATAATTCCAAAACACAGAAACTGAAATGGCAAGAGGTTTTAGTCCAATTTTTCAATAGGATGTAGCATTCATTCAGATCCCTTCAGTTTACCGAGGCTTTCTAAATTGAAATGAGACCATGGAGTTCAGTGTAGTTCAGAGTGCTGCATAAAGTGAAATGGAAGGAATTTCGGGACTCTCATTAAACTTGGTTTTGGAATGAGAAACTTGGGCTCAGAGAGGTTAAGTTAAATGTCTGAGATTGCACAACTCAGAGGCCAGTTGTCCCTCCTAAAACCCTGGATGTTCAGCTACAGACCCTTGACCCCATAGTCAATTCTCTGTAAGGCTATATCACCATGCTGCCTTCCCTTTTGGTTATTAACTTAATGTGTTGGGAGATACTCAAATTCACAAAAAAACTTCTACAGACATTTTGATTCTGTTTTAACTATGTAAGCCTGTGATTATGTCACCTTAATGGAGTCAAAAAGAAGATTCAGAAGATAATGATAAAGGTCCTACATTAGCTTGCCTCCCTAACACACCAATGAGAAGGGATGCAAAAACTAAATTGGAACCATGTTGTTCAAAATTCAAGGCTGCTTTACTGAGGAGCAGAGAATCATGCTGATAATGTGTATACATACTAAACTAGGCATCATGAGAAATGATAACAATGATCCAATCCAGACATAGCAAAACTAGTTTCTGGGGAAAATGGCACGAGGTCAATGATGGAAACAAGTTCAAACGTGAGTGGCTAAGATGAAATGCGACCAGAGTGAAGAGAGTAGACAGTGGAAAGGAAAAATCTCACTAATAACATCTAGGATTTTCTCTGATTATAATAGACTTGGGTCCATAAAAATACCTAATAACATTTTATTTGGTTAATTTTTTCAATTGGCTACTTTCCCCAAGAGCTCTTTTCTGGGCTCAGAAGTTTCAATATTTATATATGGTACAAAGGGATGAATATTGACAGTGTTTCCATAGCAGCCCTGTGGTTAATGAAAGAAAACTGGTAGTCTGGGCATGTTCCCAGTATTTATTCACATCCTCCTTAAACTGGCCATTAGATAGAAACAATGAGAATAAAGGATTATAGAATTGATAGTAATGCAGAGTCTTCAATGACACTCTAACATTATCTAATGTGAGGAGTCTTCTTTAAAAAATAAAGAGAGAGAAAGAAGGAAAAAGAAAAATAACTTGTATTTTCCTGACAAATTAGCCCTTGAATTTCATAACTTTAAGATATAGTTTTTCAAATAATCAAGAGAAACACTAGACATTTTTGCACAAAGCAGTAAAACTCAACAGTGAAAAAATTTATTCCAGATGTACTCTAAAGCAATGCTTCAATCCAACATTAAAAGAATGGGCACTAATGACTAAACACACAAATCTCAGGGATTGCTTTTATAAATAATAATCACCAGTTCATCAAGAGGGAACATATAAGTACCATATATAATTTAAAAGTCATTTTCTTTTTTTTTTTTTAATTTTATCCAATGGTTAAACTTTTTCTAAGTAGATAATTCCTTAAAATGTGCACATGACAAAATTTAAGAACCAAAGTTTTTAAAATAAAAGTAAATTACTATTTTAAAAGTACATATTTATTCTTAGTTCTTAATTAAAAGCTTTAGGATAAAAACAATAGAATGAGGTAACTTATGTGAGTGTTTGTTTTCCAGGTAAAGACTTTATCCTAAATCTCTTTGGATCCTAATCCTTAAAATTGATTGCCTGGGTGGCAGAACTCCAGCAGCTCACTTAAAATCAAAACATGTTTATTTATTTTTTTCTGTTAAATGACTTTCATATTCTTTACTCCTTTGAATATAAACAAAAGAGGGGAAAATGTTGAGCTATTAAAGATAAACATTATCTCATCTTACTTTTCACTAAAAATCATAAACTATATAAGGAAAATAGGTCATGATTTATACTAAAATCTAATGATTATTTAAAAAGGTAACTAATTACCGATATATGGGACACAATGAAATATCTTCACACTCTCGCTCTTCAAATAAGGTATCTGGGCATTCTTGGCCTCCATTGGCTGCTTCCTGGATGATAATCCTGTATCGAGACTGTTTTACTGTGGCATTTCCTGAAGTAAAGGAAAAATAAAATTATAGTGCCCTTCTGTGAGGACGCAGGGAAAAATTTAGGGTTAGTCACAGAAGGGAAGGGAGGGAGGGAAGAAGAGAAGGGGGGGGAAGGAGGGACGGAGGAGGTAGGGAGGGAAGTAAGAATATGTGGTAAGACTACTTAGGGAATAAGAATAACAAGCAATAACCAGGGATTAATACTTCATATTATAATCAATCTTACACCTGTGAAATAGTTAATCTTAAATAATGCGATTTCAAATCTATTTGATCTCACATGCAAAGACCATTTTCCAACTGTATTACTATGCTTTAAATTCATCAGAATTTATATTACCTATGGCATAAGAGTTACATGGCATAAACTAAGGAACCCAAGAAACCCTCTTTGATCTCAAAACAATAGCTTAAGGGCCTAGTTTTACTATGAGCAATTCATTCCCTCCAGCAAGGCACTTCCCTCTGTGGGTGACTTTACAATGCAAACACTCATTAAAATTAATACATTAGTAATTTACTTATTTATGGATATTGGTTTCTTACATTTCGTATTCCTCATAACCTGACACAATATGTATATAATTGGAACGTAGGGAAAAGGCACTAAAATTGTGACAGAACAAAATATTGTCTACTTTCTGGTTTGGCTGAATAGGAGAAGTATTAATAGGCATCTCAGTAAAGGCAGCCCATGTTTACTCTAACGTGCTGGGGCACTCATCTCATACTCTTTAGACTCCTCTTGAATCAATAACAACAATAAAAATCAATTATATTACAATGGATAGAACTATTTCAATTACCATATGCAAAATTTGCACTAGATAAAAAGATACAAATTCTTCAACTTACAATAAAAAAGAAAGAAAAGGAGGCAAATAGAGATAAAAGTTTAAGACATCAGTAGAGTGAGAAGAATCAACAGTGTGCACTGTTATGAGAGTACAGAAGAAAGAGTAATCATTTTTGTCTCTGGAAATCAGACAGTTCCTGGAGGAGGCAGATTTTATTCTGGGACTTAAAATCTTAATAAAAAAATAAAAAAGGCTGAAGCCATTTTGGACCAAGGAAAGTCTGAGAAAAGACACTGCTGAGACATAAATGGGTGCATGGAATTCATAGAGAAAGGGAGCGGCATTCAGGTGGAAAATGTGTACATTTGGCTTGTGAGTGTGCCCTTGTTGAGGAGGTTACAAAGAATGAAAAAAAAGGGTGGTGTAGAAGAAAATGGAATTAACTGGTAGGTTTGGGACAGATGATGGATCTAACTATATTAAGAAGAAAATTTCTAGAAAGACAGTAAACTAAGGGGAGTGTGACCCCCCCCCCACAAAAAAAGCTTTCATTAAAATTGTATATTCACATAGTTTTTTAAAAAAATCTTTAGTACAAAGACTTATAGTGAGAAACAACTGACCCACAACCAATTCCCTGTCTTCCTTCTAGAACACTTTGAACTCTATTTAGTTCTTCTGTGGTTATCTCCAAATCTATAAATAATAAGCTTATGTTATTTTTTCTTGATTCATTAATTTTAGACATTATTTATTGACTTTCTGTTATAACTGATGGGAGTTTACTTTGCAACACCTTTCAATTTTTTATAATTGTATCACTATTTTTATGGCTCTAATGGTTATTTAAAGGCTTTAAATAACCCACTTTTTTCCAGTCCCACTCCTCATTCTTGCCCTCTATCAGACCAACCACCACCATTCAAAAGAATCTTCATGGGTAGATGGCTTCCTCTTCTCTTGCCACCCACATTCCTGATAAGTTAAGTCATAGCTTCATGTGCTGCACCATCACTTTTTCTGATCTTTAGTCTTGTCTACTAAGTTTTTTGTTAATGAGTTTAGAGCTTTCACCCACTGATGGTCCTCTCTATATTTTTTAATAAGGAATTAGGGCTTTTATAATTCCTTTCTATTATTCTAATGAGATTATGGAAAGAAAAGGAAACCAACATATTTATACACTTCATGATCTTGACTAAGTTAAGCATAGGATCTTTTCCAAATACTTACAGACCTATTCCCTTCCTTTTTTTTTTTTTTCCTTCCCCATATTTAATCTGCTGTCTAGCCAGGGAACTAATCATAGGAGTGTATCAGTGACTCCATTGTCCATTGGCTTTTGGTTGGGTTTGGCCAACAGAGGGATGGGGCACACAATATAAGGAGAAAAGATGATAAGAAAAGAGAAAGATCAGGGAATTTATTCCACCAGATTTCATCTTTTGGATTACCTCAGTTTGTTCTCTACCCAAACCAAAAGCGATGGTTTCTATGGAATGGCCCTCTCCTCCAGCTACAGTTCTGCTAATTGTTCCTACCTCTATTAAATTTCAGGCTCCTAAATGTCACTAGTCCAGGTACTGAACCATCACCTGTGAGCTTAAGTAACCCTTCCCAGTCTTTTGGAAATAACCCCTTCATTAAATTTTTCCCAATTGCCCCATTTGAGAGGGCCAGTGTTTCCTGCCAAGACGTGCTAATAAAATCAAAAGAGACATGTTACTATATGACAGGGAAGAATGTTATTAATTTGCCCTTTTCTAAAAGTACTTAACGTCCAGTGAGGAGTATAAAATAGAAGGTTAAAGAGAGGGGTGGGGGAGTGTAATTAAAACAGTTCTGGTATGGGTGCCTGGGTGGCTCAGTGGGTTGAGCCGCTGCCTTTGGCTCGGGTCATGATCTCATGGTCCTGGGATCGGGTCCCGCATCGGGCTCTCTGCTCGGCGGGGAGCCTGCTTCCCACTCTCTCTCTCTCTGCCTGCCTCTCCGTCTACTTGTGGTCTCTCTTTGTCAAATAAATAAATAAAATCTTAAAAAAAAAAAAAAAAAAACCAGTTCTGGTAAAAAGCTGAGAATTTTTCCCTTTAAGTTCAGGAAGAAGACAAAAATGGCCACTCTTCCCACTTTAATTCAACATAGTATTAGAAGTCTTAGTCACAGAAATTCGACAAGATAAAGAAATAAGAGCATCCAAATTAGAAAGCAAGAAGTAAAACTGCCACTATTTGCAGATGACATGACACTACATCTAGAAAACCCTAAAGATCCCATCAAAAAAGCTATTAGAACTAATAAATGAATTCAGTAAAGTTGCAGGATACAAAATTAACATGTAGCAATTGGTTCTATTTCTATACACTAACAATCAGCTAACAGAAAGAAAAAAAAATTAAGAAAATAATCCCATTTACAATTGCATCAAAAATAATAAAATACCTAGGAATAAGGTTAGCCAGGGAGGTAGAAGGCATGTACTCTCAAAACATCAAGAACTGGGGCGCCTGGGTGGTTCAGTGGGTTAAGCCTCTGCCTTCAGCTCAGGTCATGATCTCAAGGTCCTTGGATGGAGCCCTGGGTCAGGATCTCTGCTCAGTGGGGAGCCTGCTTCCCCACCCCCTCCTGTCTCTCCACCTACTTGTGATCTCTCTCTCTGTCAAATAAATAAATAAAATCTAAAAACAAAACAAAACAAATGCTCATGGATTGGAGCTCAAACATGCTCATGGATTGGAAGAATTAATAGTATTAATCCATACAACCCAAAGCAATCTACAGATTCAGTGCAATCCCCATCAAAATACCAATGTTATTTTTCTCAAAACTAGAATAAGAAATCCTAAAATTTGTATAAAACCCAAAATGTGTATAGAACCACAAATAGAAATCCCAAAAGGTCAAAGCACTCCTGAGAAAAAACAACAGAGTGGAGGAATCAATCAGACTTTCTGATTTCAAAGTGTACTACAAAGCTACAGTAACCAAAACAGTATGGTATGGGCACAAAAATAGACATACAGATCAATGATTTAGAATAGAAATAAAATAGAAACAGAAATAAATCCACACACGCATGGTCAATTAATGGAGAGCAAAACAGACAAGAACATATCATGAGGAAAAGACGGTCTCTTCAATGAATGGTGTCAGCACACCTACATGCAAAAGAATGAACTTGGACCAATATCTTATACCATACACAAAAATAAAAATGGATTAATGACTTGAATATAACATCTGAAACTATAAAACTTATAGAAGAAAAGATAGGCAGTAAGCTCTGTGACATTGGTCTTAGCAATACTACATGGACCAGTCTGTCAGGCATGAGCAACAACAATTAAAATAAACAATTATATTTATTATATCAAACTAAAAAAACCTTTTGCACAGCAAAGAAAACAAACAACAAAACAAAAAGACAACCCACTGAATGAGAGAAGATATTTGCAAATTATATATCTGGTAAAATGTTAATATCCAAAATATATAATGAACTCAGGTAACTTCATATAAAAAAAAAAAAAAGACTAGAGTCAAGATGGCGGAGAAGTAGCAGGCTGAGACTACTTCAGGGAGAGGGAGATCAGCTAGATAGATTATCTAAAGATTGCAAACACCTACAAATCCAACGGGAGATCGAAGAGAAGAAGAACAGCAACTCTAGAAACAGAAAATCAACCACTTTCTGAAAGGTAGGACGGGCGGAGAAGTGAATCCAAAGCGACGGGAAGATAGACCGCAGGGGGAAGGGAAGGCTCCCGGCAAGCGGCGGAGCAACGGAGCACAAAATCAGGACTTTAAAAGTCTGTTCCGCTGAGGGACATCGCTCCAGAGGCTTAACTGGGGTGAAGCCCACGCAAGGTCAGCGTGGCCTCAGGTCCCGCAGGGTCACAGAAGGATCGGGGGTATCTGAGTGTCGCAGAGCTTACAGGTATTAGAACGGGGAAGCCGGCTACAGAGACAGAGCCGAGGAGTAAGCTCTCAGCTCGGGGTTACCTTGAACCGGTTGCAGGCTCGGTCAGCTCGCAGCGCGGCCAGAGGCAGGGTGACGGGAGTAATTGGGCGCTGTTCTCTGAGGGCGCACTGAGGAGTGGGGCCCCGGGCTCTCGGCTCCTCCGGGCGGTGACCGGGAGGCCGCCATCTTCATTCCCGCCCTCTGGAACTCTACGGAAAGCGCTCAGGGAACAAAAGCTCCCGAAAGC